ACCTTCTACTAGTAGTGACCAAGAAGATAAATACAAGGTTGACGATATAAAACTAGAGAGCCACGACAATTTCGATAGTAATAATTTCAATGCCAGTCAATACATGACTAATCCTGATACCGGCAGACAGTACACAGATGTTTCAAATATGCTCAAAGAAGATACAGACTTTGCCGATATTAAAGAAGAAGATATTGATGACATTAAAGTAGATGGTATCAAAGTTGAAGATCTTGATGAAATAAAAGTTGATGGAATCAAAGTGGAAGATTTAGATGTGAATGATATCAAAGTCGAAAATATTGATGATATAAATGTAGAAGCCATAAAAGTGGAGGATATTAAACTTGAAAATGATGGTGCATTTTCTCTTTGTAAACAGGTGGCTGATGACCAAAGTAATTTAGTTGATGGCTTACTTGAAGCCGATATAGAATTTCTAAGCAGGAATTTGGGCAATATAGAAAGTGATGCTGATGCAAGAAAGACAATTGAGAAACTAACAGGAGCTAATCCAGACACGATTACCTTAGTTGGAGACGAATTTGATTTGGGGACTACACTTAACACAGATAATGTACATATATAATATTTACATTGCTTACTTTGTGTACGTTTTATTATTTATTTCCTAAGTTACAAGTAGTGTTTATTTTATTTGCTATGCTTGCAACTATTTTTTTAAATAGTCATTTGCTCTTGTTGCTTGACTTAGCTCTGGCGTACTTTTCAAACTGTTATATAATCCACTGCCCCTTAAAAGTCCGGTGTTGCCACATAGGTTATGTATGGTAGTAATTTCGGTATGAAACGAGATGGAAAGAAAGATCCTTCGACCACAATCGTAGTTTTTAAGGTTAAATCTTTCCTCAAATAATTGCCCTAAAATACGTGAAAAGCGGTGGAACTGTGTCATAACATAACTCATTCTTAAAAACGGTTGATATTTTTTGTATTGTCCTTAGTTTTTGTGGTGTATTTTTGTTATTTGTATTATTTAATATTGCATTATTACAAAATGCTGCTATAATAGTCTAAAATACAATAATGACATATTGGTCTATTTTTTTTCAGTTTACTGGTAATCAAAATACAAAGTGCATAACAGTCGCATCAACTACTAGCGGTATGGTCCACAGCGTGCCTGTGGCACATATTGCAGCGCCGCCTCGCATTACTGGCAGTACTGTACATTATTATACTAGTTCTACCGTCCCACCAACGGGACAAAGGACAATACACCATTTGCCACAAGCCACTGTTACTATACAGAGCATTCCAGGATCTACATCCCAAATGATCAGAGGGTAAATAATGTCATATTTTGTTAATTTATCCCAATCCCAATTGTGATCATTCAAGATATTTTCATTAATTTCAGTTGTTCTTAATGTATATTTTAAAAAGAATAACTATTATAAACATTACTAATACTCCCTTTAACGAATCCAAATAAAGCTTAAAATGCTTGTGTTATATTCCGCGTTAGCTTTTTTTCTGTCGATTTAAAATCATGGAACAAATAAAAAAGTAGTATTAAATATAAATATAAAAAGTTCGTATTATTTCATCATTACTGAAACGTAGGCCCCTGTTATATAAAGAGTTGCGCATATAAATGTTTGTAGTATTTTATCAACTTACGTAATATACAGATCTAATACATATATAAAAATTAAAGTTTGTTCGTATTTTATGCGCTGCCATACCGTTCATCAGAAACTTTGCGGTAAAACTTTGTCAAGTTAGTGCTTGTACTTGCACAAGGTTATAGGCATAGTACAATTAACTTACAGTAGGTGGCGCGCGTTTCGAACCGACAAATCTATTTGAAAATCATTCAATCTCAATGAATCAATCTATTATTAATCATTCCTATTTAAACAATTTTTTTTTTATATAGGATTGGGTGACAAACGAGCACACAGTCCACCTGATGGTAAGAGGTTGCTGTGGCCCATAGACATCTACATCTATCTTCGTTTGCGAATCAAAATGCAGATGCGTTGTCACCCGTGAGGACTAAGATGGAATGCCTGTTTTCCAGTAAAAAGCGTCTCCGGTTCTCTACACTCAACACAACAGTGTTAAGCTGCTATTTTACGCGTATATTGTGAGAGCGTGGTCCTACCCCGGTCGAGCCGACCCATTCGTGCTACAACTATACTAGTAATATAGCTGTAGCATGGCTCTACCACGTTTAGAGCGGAATATAACTCTTCCAAATTAAAAACTACATTTCCACAATTATTTCTTCTGAGGCAGCAATGCGCCGGGTACCAGCTAGTTTAATATATATGTGGTGTAACAATGTGTATGGTCGTATTTTATGCGCTGCTATAAAGTTCATCAGATTGCTGTAAAACTTTGTGAAGTTATTGCTTGCACTTGCGGGTTATAGGCATAGCACAATTAACTTACAGTAGGTGGCGCGCGTACAGTACCGAAAAATTTACTCAATAAACTTCAATGAATGTATTATCATTCCTAATTAAACAATATAAAGGTGAACGCACATTTATCAGCACCGTACGCGCAGCACGCGCCGCACGCGCAGCACGCGCCGTACGCGCCACATTTTAGAATTCGTTGTATGAAATCATATCAAACCTCGCCAATTTCACCCGCACCGTAAGCGCAAAATTTTATAAAATGCGGTTAGTATCGGAATATTGAAGGAGGCATGCTGATTATGTCATATAATGCGGCGCGTTCGGCGTGTGCTGATACTCAGTGTTGCCTAATGTTGCCAATTTTGTGGATTGTCCTCTAAAACCTGGTGGTTTCGACTTCCCTTCTATTGGAGAAATATTGCTTTTAGTGGCTGGTGTTTTTTTTAGTGGTTCAGTAGAATTAAGTTTCAGTTAGTGGCAAGGTGACTCTACCATTAAGTCACACGTTTCGAAATATATTTTTACTTCATTTCAGGAGTATTTACGTATTTACCGTGTAGGAAACAATGATTCTTCAGAGAAGGCATGCAACTGCCTTTTTAATGAATATTGTGAATCCAGAATCTTTTTCTCTGCCAATAAGCAGGCTATTACATTTTTTCCATAGTTTAATCAATGTAACTTAAACCGTTTCACATCAGTGGTTAGAAAAAACTGCAAAAGTTGTTGGTAATACCAAAGATTTGCGTACGGCGCGTATGTGTGATGTGCGAGTTCATCAGTAAATGCGGCGCGTATGGAGCGTGCTGCGCGTGTACGGTGCTGATAAATGTGCGTTCACCTTTACTGTTCCAAATTACAAACGATATCTTCTGATCTGCGGCTGTAACGCGTCGGATACCAGCTAGTATATGATTTAAAGGATTAGTTAAGCTTACACATTTAATGCATTCCTTAAACGTTAAGGCAAGCTTCCAGTTTATGATTTATTCTTTAGACTGATTGGCTAGTTTAAGAACTTTTTATATAATTGTCTTTCCCAGACTTTGAGGGCTGTTCTTCCGAACCTAAGACGACTAACGCCTCTGACGTTTTGCACATGAATTCGCTTTTTCACAACTTCTGAAACTCTTTAAGTGAGAATTATTAATGTATATATAATTATGGACAATACGTATGTAATGTTAAAATGAAAATGTGTGAAGAGCTCGTATGCGTGCATCTCGACAAAAAAAACACATTTTTATTGTGACGTGACGTCTGTATTTTTTTACGCCCGCGTTAGTAATGCTCGGCATGGACTATGAACGTGTGATCCTTTACATGCGCTAACTTGCACGTTCATGTTTTTTTTTGGGTCTGTTTGGGGATATGCGATGGCGGCGACTCTTAAGCTTCCGCCAAACTGAAGTGAATCCCGCGCGGGACGCGGGACGCGATTCGGTCGCGCCGATTGCGTCAGCTAACTTGTATGGAGGTGTTCAATTTGGCGCGAATAGGCGCACGTTCTGCAGCGAATATACGCGGAATAGTGCCTGATTTTTCGAAATGCCGTTGAACCTTGAATTATTTTTACAAATAGTAAAAGAAAACAAGATTCTATAATATGACCTCAGCCACGAAGACTATAAAAAAAATAGGAAAAAAGATAGGGTATGGGAAGTTTTATCAAGAAGCGAACAAAATTTCCGTATATTTTGTTCGATTCTTAATAAAACTTCGTTATAGCATTCTTCCGGCATACGAAAATATAAATAAAATATTTTTTTATCTTTTCGTAATGTGTGTATCAAAGTGTGAAACTCTCCAAATTCTATGCGTTGAGTACTCAGCTCATGAAACCATTTTCTTCTTTTCTTCCATACATCTTGAGATTCTTCTTCAGTTAATGCTAATAAAAACAAAACCTCAGCTTCAATATCAAAAAACATGTTTTCCTATTGAGAAACCAAAACTAATGACGTGCGGGATTCGCCCCAATTTGGGAGGCTAAGCGAGCGAGCGAAGCACGCAGATTCGCGTCCCGCGCGGGATTCGCCTTAGTCTGGCCGAAGCTTTACTTCGATGCCCGGTTGGTCCGTTGTTCTATGGTGTTTAAAACTCGGCCGACTCCAATGTGCTGACAGTAGCACAATTGTGAAGGTGGTACAAGCCGCTCGTGGGGCGGTATGCGGCGGCGAAAACATTAACCCCGCTGCTTGATAGGTATTTTGTTCATTTAGTCGTAAGTGATGGTATCCGCGCCGTGTGATTTCGAAGTACACAATCAGTTCAAAAGTTGTCCAGCGCTTAAAATACGAACGACTCCCTATGTGCCGACGATAGCGCAGTTTTAGAGAGGTATAAGGCGCTTGTAACAATCAAAATAAATTCAATGCCAAAGAGTGTCTTCAATTTGGGTGATAACAATTTTTATGAAGTTCGATGCCACTAACACAAGCGTGTGGGGTTCGTAGCTAAAAGGAGCTCGCTCCTTTAACGAACTTTAACAAACCCCACACGGACACGTTATCTGGATTGTTTCATAGAAGTCAACAAATTTAGTGAATTTTGCACCATGTAATTGTTATACAATGTTATACATTATTTTGTTTAAACATGTTATATATACTTTTGACTGAGTGTTAATGCGTTTCAGAATACCAATAAACACAAAGCCAGGAACAATCAGCACTGTAATGTCGCAAGGCACAGCAAGCACCATAATTGGCTTCGGTACTCGCACATCGAATGCCACGGTCATTGGTACACCAACTCAGTATATCAATGTGTCATCAAAAACTTTCCCTACTGGAAACATATTACACAATGCTATTGTCTCAAGAAACATAATAAACCGCAATTTAAATGCGACCACATCGAGTGTCTCTTTCAATGTGACTGCAGTGAGATCTGCAATGCATACAACCTCCCCAAAAATAAGTACGGCGGTTACTGCCAGTTCAAGTGATTTCGACAGCATATCTACGGCCAAAGATATGATAGACAATGCATGCAGCTCTTCAGTGATGTTAAAGAAAGTGCTTACGCTTGGAAGTTCTGCTGCGAACAAGTCCTTTATGATGCACAATACCCAGAAAGTTCTATCAACTGGTTTTGCTAATGGAGTGACTCCCCCGCCAAATGTTACAATTGTAAGCTCCGGTACGAGTGGTGGGATTTTGAATAATAACATCGGGAATAGTTCGCCTAACATAGTTTGCCCTACGTCCGCTAATTTAAGTGCTACACATGCCACATTATCAGCTTTGTTAGCTTCGAATGCAGAAAACGTGCAGTGTAATAAAAATTGATAACAGTCTCATACCTGTAAATTATAAAGGTATTTTTCGTGTCGGTATTGATCTCATTTGTAATGTATTGCTATAAGCTTACTTTTACTCATACACGTAAAATAAAACACAATTGATATGATCTAATCACTTAATCTTGTTTGTCATAATTACTAAAATCATTGAATGTGGCGTATTTAAAATGATTTTTAATCATACAGGGTTATTTTTCAAAGAGTAGCCAAATTTTAAACTTAAGTTCAAATAAATAAATAATTATATACTGTTTAATCGCAGTTTTTGAAAATATGAGTAAATAAAGCTGCTATTTTTATTTGAAATTATGCCAAATTGAATGTGATTTATGGTCCACAAATACGCGTACGTGCGCTCTTCTTTGTGCGATTCACAACTTTTTTGCCCACCGATCGATTCTTACAAATGTGTGCGTGCGTATGCGTAGTAAAATAGTAGACAATCAGTTAAAACTATGCATTACCACACATTTTGAATTTAAAAGATAAAAAGGACAGAATGTTTGAAATATTTTTAAATAAGTTTTCTTCATCATTTTCTATATTACTTATTCTCAACCTTCTCTGCCAATTTGGCCTGTTATTGCAAAATAGCCCTGTATGAGGAATTGATGTTAGCAAGTAGCTTTTAATAGAGACAAGCTTGAAGTTCTCTGTAATATGACTGTTAAGGTTTATATAGGTATCAATTTTATCTACCTCTTCTGTTACCTGACTGAGCTAAGTTAGTTATGGTCGTCTGTCGCGCCACAGACCTCTGTGTATTAAATTCTAGTTTATTTTTTGAATCTTTATCATTACTCACATTACGTAGTAATGGGTACTAAGCGTGAAATATTGTCTCAAAATCCTCAGTGTTAAGTATTATTTATGATGTGTTGTTAGTTAAAACACATTACAGTGTTATAAATATTTCTGTTAAAACCATTTTTGGGTTTTACATAGGCAATAGTAAAAGCAAAATAATAAAATATTAAATAATTGTCTATGGAACTTAGAGATGGCACCATTTGTTTGTTGATAATATTTTCACTTTTGCATTAGATGTTGTGGTTGTGCTTATTTGATCATGATAATGATACATTTTTCTTGATCAATTGTATTAAATCAGTATTACTTATGTGATATATTAAAATATTTAAATTAATATCCTAATTGTTACGTGAGGTTAATCATATAATTATTATTGTATTTTAATTTAAATTAAAGTACATGTGATGCGCAAAGATAGGCTTTCAGCTTCAGCAGTTTGAATAGGAAATATAATAGCTTATTGTAAGATATGACGAATAGAATAGAATATCGTTTATTTTTAAGTATATGGTAAAAATCAATCTATAAAATATTTTGGAAAATTTTAGGTATTACGCCTCTAGCACATAGAAGACACGAAAGTAGAATGAAAACTTAACGCAGTGATAGCTACATTTTCGTTTTCATTTCGCGTAGTGAACCTGTCCGAACGGTATACCGAATGCACATTGAAATCATGGCAGTTTGACAAATAAGATATTAGACTGTAGTGTTTTGCCTCAAGAAAGATTTTTAAAATACCAACATGTTGTCCGACACCAAACTGGATTCGGTTCGCATCCAGTGTACCGTTCAGGCCCTTATCAATTTCGTGTAGTAGATCTGTCACTACGCGAAATGGATACTACAATGTAGCGAACATTGCTTTACGTTATCGATTTTCTCACCGCTTTCGTGTCTTAGATACTAGAAATGCAATTCTCAGTCTTGTGTCATCTTTAAAAGTTTAAGAGAAAAGTGTATTAAAAATGGTAAAACTGTCATATAAATAAATTTACTTCTTTTTACCTTGTGAAACTACTTCATCAATTGCTCTTCTTCTTCGTGTTTATGACGTATCAGTTTATCAAATTAATGTTAATGTATGTGATACGATCTCCATTTGGGCTTATAATGGATTCTTATGTTTATTTTGTCACAGGATATAGGAGCAAATGAAGAGATGTTATTGGAATAATGTTAAATAATGCAAATGTGTTAATTAAAAAAAAAATGGAAAAAAAATACTGTCCACTTCAACTAACTGAAATATAAACTGCATCCATACCATAGACATAGAGAGAACGGACTGTGCGTTCCGTATTCAGTTGTGCAGTGAATACAGACCGAAAAGTGCGAGAGAAACAAAGCGAATGTGCGGTCAATAATAGTCTCTTTCTAGAATTCTGATTGGTCACTGGCTTAGGACGTGGACCAAGGCTTGCAGGAAAGAGACAGGTATTGGCCGCACAGTCGCTTTATCTCTTTCTAGAAAATTATCACTTTTGTGAGGCTAACGCTCAGTCTATTCTCTATGTCTATAGCATCGACATAATATTATATGTTTTTATATTTTGTTGCAGCTACTCAGCCGTTAGATGTTTATGGTTTTTAGGAACGACATTATTAATACATTAAATATTATTTTTAAGGAATCGGTATTTCTTGTTGCTCTAACAAAAACGTAATTTAAAAATATTAGGTTTAAAACATGTTTATTCATTTTAAAATGTTTTATAAATAAAAGAAAAATAAGTAATATTAATTCCTTGATCAGTCCACCTTGCTGAAATCGATTGAATAAACAATCAGAAACTTTTTTTTGAGATCTTGTGAATCTCTCGTCATCATCAATCTTTGTGAGATCAGAAGATATCGATAATTGCTATTTTGTATAATGTTGTTGTAGATTAGTTATTGTATTTTTTTGATGTCATCTTTTGAAGGTTAGGTTTGTATTATTACATTGTTAAACGAGAAAATAATAATTTGATGTGAAACAAAATCCTTAAGAGATACAGTACTGTTGTTGAAAATTTGTGTTTAAAAGAATTATATAAGACTGCATAATTTCATATTCTTGTTCCATATATTTTTTTTACAAAAAAAAAAAAACTTAATTATGTACACTAGGTAAAAATACGGGTTTTTGCATTTATTACGTTTTATGGACAGGTTTTATTCAGTGCGGCCGTATATGTATCAAACATTTTGAAAACTAATTATTTATTTTTTAAAGTTCTTTAATTTTTATTAGCAATATATAAAATTTTTAGGTACGCCGATTTTTAAACTTTTTTTTTTAAACTAAATCTAATATTCTTGTTACGAAAACTGCGTTAATTCACTAACATACATTGAATTGAATTGGTTATAATATTTACATACTATATATACTTATGTCATGTATTATTTATAGGTGTTTTAGATCATTTGTAACACTGTTTTTGTTTTACTGAATTGAATTAGCAGAGTACAAAATCGAATGTTGTGTTTGTGAATAAGGTCCAATTTAAGAGTGTTATGACTTAATGCTACTTATTTATTTAGGTTTTTTGGTATTTTTATGGGCAATTTAAGCGCTTTTTAAATTAGGACAGAAGTCGTAGTATACGTAACGTGTTATTCCCATTCCGATTGGAACTGATGATTTTTTAACATTGTTTTATATCAAAGTATAGTTAATGCATTTACATGATGGGAATACGTACGGAACAGACATTAGCCCCGAAGGTTTTCCTAGGTTACACAATTTGAGTATTTCAAAACACCGTGAGAAAACGTGATGCCTAACTGAGAGGCAAAATATATCGAGTACATATTATGAAGTTTGTTTGGAGCAGTGCGGCAGATTAATTGCTCCATTATCTTGTCGGAAATTAAAGGAGTCATATGCTCATTAGTAGGTCATAATATGTGGGCTGTAAGTAATTCATAAATACTTTCATTATTATCAAGGAGTTATTAACATGTAAGTCGGTCGATATTATTAATAGCTTTTTCGTTAAATAGTTCAATATGACTGTTTTAACGTTAACAGCACTAGCACGTTTCTTACCAGAGACCGTCATTGTATTCGTTCGATTTGTTCGATGGGGCACGCACATTTTCTTGTCGTCTTAAGTTTAATAAAATCCGTTGTGTACACTACGACTTAATAAATTATGTTGCAATGCTTTCTGAGCTTTAATTTGTATGTCATGTTTAAGTATAACTGCAATAATTTATATTGTTTTGCTTTTTGCGTTGCTTACGTGCAATTTTTTTATAAACCTATTTTTATATATTTTTTTTTATAAAGGCTGTGCTATTGTTAATAATGACTTGTTCAAAAGGTCGACTGTTTAAATTAGACTAGGTTTGATAACGTTTTAATTGTTAAAATCTGTTTTTATTCTTAGTGTTTTTTTTTTTGCTTTTTCGTCATATTATGTGCTTCAGCTTTTAACTGTTCAATAATATTCTTGATATCATTAACTCTGCGTTTATCCCGAATTTCATATTTTTTTATTTGTTTACATTTTCTATCAATGTACTTAAAATTATTTGTGTTCAAACACCCATTTAATTTTTGTTGGCATAATTCCACGTATTCATGGTAAATAATTGTTGAGCAACATGTTGCAGTGTTCCTGTCAACACGTTGCCGATTAGTGAGAGCAAATTAAAATATTTATACATGACAGATCCATAATAACAATATAAGGTCGGTCATCCATTTCATTCTTTGAGATCGCTATTATTATTTTATCTTTCAAATAAGAAATCAAAGTATTATAATATGAAGACGCTTTTAATTTATCTGTAGTTTACATGCATGTTCGATCTAAAGATGAATTATACAATTTATTGTTTTTATTAGCATCTTAAATATAACAAATTTAGAATTAATATTCTTTATATCTTTATAAGGAACACGTGTGCACTTTGAACGTCCAAAAGACAAATTATTTTACAGGTGAATTATGAAAGCGATAACTGGTTTTGCCGGCACAGCATGCCCTGGACGTTCTCGACATACCCGTTTGTGGCGTACGACGGCAAATTATAAAAGCTTACCATAACTGCTAATTTCGCAATTATTAAGTTTATTGAAATAATTTAAAATAAAAAATTTTGTACAGCCGACTTTAATATAAGTTATTAAAGTAACTCAAAAACTATTGGTCTGAGCTTGATCAAATTCATATAGGACCACACGAGAAGTACCAGCTTTCAAATAAAAAAAAATCATCGAAATCGGTTCACCCAGTAAAAAGTTATGAGGTAATAACACACATAAAAAAAAAAACAAAAGCATACTGTCGAATTGAGTACCGCCTCCTTTTTGGAAGTCGGCAGATAAAATATATCCTACAACCGAAATCCGAAATAAAATAGCTATAAGGAACACAAATAAATTATTCCTCAAATATTTAAATGCAATCGGTATGTATGATTAATAAACTGGTGCTCAACCAATGTTTACGATGAATACGTGGCTTAAGTAATTGTCGCGGTGTGTGAAGTGAAATTTAATAATTAATTAGTGTGATTTAATAATTAATTATTATATTATGGGATAAATATATAATAAATAAGTTTTTATTTTTGTTTTACATTACTGGACTGTGAAATCTGTACCTTGTGTGAGTGATGAATAAGATTTATTTTTGAGTACAAATTTCCTTTTTTTTAAATGTTTCCTTTTTAATTTTGTTAATTAATCCTTGATATAATTTACAATGTATATTTTTGTTTCAATACAAATATGTCCTTTCTCTAAACTACATTTATATTTCATCCTTTTTTATAATGTTTTCAAATCATACTTTTATGGAGCGTATATAAACGCCCGTGTCATGGCTTATCTAGAACACAATGACTTTCTTTTGTACCTCGAGCACAGGCGCAGAGTAGCTAGCTCTTCGGCATTAATACTGAGAGGCTTGCTAGCCGGAACCGTACCCTGTTCCGGAGACTGCACAAGATTTCTATTTTATAGAATAAGGGTGACAAACGTGCATACAGTCCATCTGAAGGTAAATGGATGAGGAGACCCATAGAGATTTAATTTATCCTCGATTAAAAATCAAAATGCAGATGCGTTGTCACCCCTGAGAACTAAGATTGAATGCTACGTTTACAGTAAAAACCGGCCAAGTGCGAGTCGGAGTCGCTCATGAAGGGTATCGTACCATCGTAAAACACGTTACGGGTAGAGGAGACCCCTTTAATTTTTAATTAATTTTTATTATTATTATTGTTATAGCGGCAACAGAAATACACATTCTGTGTAAAATTCAACTGTCTATCAATTACGGATTATGAGATATAGCCCGCTGACAGAGAGACGGACCGATGGACTGCGGAGGCTTAGTAATAGTGTCCCGTTGGTTACCTTTTGGGTACGGAACCCTAAAAAGGGTTTCCGGTTCTCTACACTCACTATACGAAACAGCAGAATTAAGGTCTTATTATACGTTGGTATTCTGTGAGAGCGTGGTTCTTTCCCGGCCGAGCCGACACATTCATGCTAAAACCATTGATTTAATTCAAATCAGACAGACCACCACGTTCATCCTTCGCAATCCAATAACCAATATTGTTAATACTTTATAGATTTTGACAAATTAGATTATCTTTTTTTTAAACGTTGTAACATGCTAAAACAACTAGTATTTTTTATTATTATTTTTCACATATTTTTGAATATTTTATGTTGTTTTCAAAAAGTATAAATTAAATTAGTAGTAAAATATTGGTAGCTTAATTCTATATTGGCTGGTTATTTTGGTAGCTTTAAGAGACGAGAACTGATAGGGAAAAGAAGTGGAGTATAGATCTGAAGTAATGTCTTACATGCAGGAAATTTATTAAACGAGTTTTCGGGCCGTTTTTTTACTTCACTGCTCTACCACATACGGGACAAGCAGGTTGGAAAGCGTAGAGACCTCTTATCGTAAAAGCCTGACAACAATTTTCATATATTCGTACCGCAATCATTATAGGCAATTTCTAATTCTAAAAATGCAAGTTGTCATTTTTTTTTTGTAGGAACCGACTTTAAGAAATATAATAAATATGTATTTTAAAGTTTTTAAAAAATATATATGTAAGTACATAATATTTTTGATTGAAAATAGAAATATTGTTTTAAATAATCATGATCAATTTCAATAATAATTATAAATAAAATATGTTTGCCGGAATGTAAGTCTCATATGGTCTCGTATGATAAATTT